ACAGCGGCCGGACTCAGATCCGCCGCTTCGGAGCGGATCGAGGGCTCGAGCTCTTGGCTCATCTCGACGGGATCGGTTCGCGGAGGGAAGCGGAAGTCTTCTCGGAGATCGGACTCCAGGGTCTTCTAAGTCAGGAGACCACTGTAGCATAAACACCCCCAAACGGCGGGGGTGTATGCACGCAGTTCAGTAGCAGACTCCGGATCGGCGGAAGACGGAACACACGCAAAGGGAAAGGACACGGGTCCTGGTAGCGTGGTAGAGCGGGAAGGGTGGCAGGCGCGAGTGATTGCGCAGCGGAGCGGATCGACGCCTCAACGCCCCAGAGCGACACTGGGTAGCGGACCAGTGTCAACGGGCGGAGGCGGATCGCTGCACGCGCGCGCACTGTAGCGCCTGCACCCCGCGTCGGTTCCCTTACCTAAACGAGACGCGAGAGCGGACTCGTGTTTTAGGTTAAGCGGTGGGTTGTCGACCAAGGCCGAAGGTCGTGGACCAGCCCGTGCTTATCCCTTTCCTCCGCCGTCGGTCGCTCCCTTATTTAATGTACAAGTGTTCGGTTATCATACCAGACTACAGTATCATGCTACCGTAGCCGGCGCGAGTCGTCGCGCGCGGTGGCTCTGTCAGCTATCGAGCTGACAGTACACGTGTGTGCCACGTGTGTGTGCGCACGCCCTGCAGACATGTGGTACACGTGTGGGCGCGTGTGGGCTGTAAGGTTCGTGCCATACAGCCCCTGATCTAAACCTAATCGAATCGACGGCGCATATACCACAGAAGGGACAACCGGTCCAAATCGCGGAGTTCAACGAACCGTGCAAGGCAGCGTTACATAAGCTCAAAGACGCCATTTTAGCACCACCGGTGCTGGCGTTGCCAAGGAAGGGCCTCCCATATTCAGTAGACATCGATGCCAGCGATTATCAGATTGGGGCAGCGCTTTTTCAAACGCAGCCTAATGAACAGCGTAAACTCATCGGGTTCTTTTCAAGAACGCTGGCTGCTGCCGAAAGGAATTATTCCGTATCCGAAAAGGAATGTTTGGCAGTCATCTGGGCCGTCTAGACGTTGAGATCGTATTTATACGGGGGGCACTTCATAGTGCATACCGACCACTCATCGCTGAGGTGGTTGATGAATGTAACGAACGCTAGTGGACGTTTAATCCAATGGAGGTTACGCCTCTCGTAATTTGATTTTAAGATCCAATACAAGAAGGGAAAGGTCAACACGCAAGCGGACGCGTTGTCAAGATTGTTGACCAAGGGCGAAACGAGCAACGACGTCGACGAGGAGATACCATGTTTCATGTTGGAACCAGCGGAAGCCCTGGAGGACGAAGGCGAATACTTTGAGCGGTTAGACGATCTCCTCGCTCTTGAAGGGAGGGCCGCCTCTGATCGTCTCGATCAGTTCCAAGCTATCGCTCCGGAGGAGCTTTTACGCGAGCAGGACGTCGACCCTTTCTGTATTCGAACTAAGGAGTAAATGGAAGAAGGAAGAACGAAGTCGTTCACAACGGAGGCCGAAGAATTTGAAGGAATTTTATTTCGAATCTCTGCAGAGTTCGTACAAGTGGTAATTTCACAATCGCTGAAGGACCGTGTCCTAGGGTTGAGCCGTTATGCTAAACTAGCAGGGCACCCAGGAGGCAATAAACTGCATAAAACCTTGAGAAGATCGTTTTATTGGCCTACAATGGCGCTGGATTGCTACGCGGTAGCCAGGAATTGCGCGGATTGAGCACTAGGAAGATTGAAGCTCAGGAAGAACGCGAAGGAGATGCAGCTGCTCACGCCGAACGCCCCATTAGAACTTGTCGCAATTGATATACTCGGAGAGTCTACTGGTGCAACAGGTTTTATGGATTCTTACAAATATTATATTTCTGCGGAGAGCAAGAAACCGTCAGAAAAGTCTGGGAGTGAACCGGCGAACAGTAAAAAATCTCAAAACCCTGCTGCTATCTGTTCAACGGTTCAGTTGAAGGTCTTAAAGCGACGAAACGTGTTGGAGCCTTCTGTCCGGTCAAAAATGAGGGTAGTTAATTTGAAACGTGCGGTAAGGACGTGTTGCTCAATCACCAAAGCAACATCTTTCAATCCTTCCCCCCGGGGTTTTCCAAACGCAGACCCTCATCCAACACTCCTCCGAAACGTCGCCTTCCTGCGTCTTACATGGGAAACAAAAACTTGGCCCTGCTTCAAAATAAAATATGCGAGGAAAGGCTTCGTCGACAGAGAGCATGTAAAACCACTTCGCATGCTGCAATTGCAAAATGGGTCAAAACAAACCTTCATCTCGGAGAAAGTCCCAGCAAAGCAACAATGTCGCCCACTTCATGCAAGTCTGGCAATCTTGTGCCTAGGTCTAGTCGGGAAATAGCAAAAAGTCAGGGACAAGAAAGGAAAAAACCAAGGCGTTGAGTAAGCCCTTCTCGGGTGTATTTGTAACCAGCATACATCAAGAAAAACATCGACGGGGACTTTATTCGACAAAAGGCGATCAATTGGCAACCTTTGTAAAATGAACAAATTGATATTGGGGAGCGGACCAATATATTGTTTTGAGAGGGCTGGTTAAATAGGTTCAAACACCGTTGGGGCATACCTGTTTCCAGGTCACATGGTTAGGATGGAGACGTGGACATTGACGCAATGAATGCAGCAATGCAAAACATCAGGGAGGAAAAAGCACGTATGATATAGAGCTTGAAAGGCTGGCAGGTTGCAAAAAGACAAAAGAGCACATCAACTTTATGCCATGCAGCAATGCAGAGGGGGTAAAAGAAATTGAGTCTATGGTCAATGGAAGATATTTTAATCCGGGATGTTTCAAAAATGAAGCAGGAGCTGAGCTAGGATTTGACTATCATGCGAACAAGAAAGCATAGATGAAGACGACTCTTTTTTGGATGGCTGAAGAGAATCCAGGGTTTCGTTGCCCGGACCCCCGAGCGAAACGTTGTTTTGCCTATGGATATGTGTAGTGCCTATCGGCCGAAAGATATTTTACCGGTTCTGACCAACGTGAAACTCATCTTCCTTCCACCCAACTGTGCCTCTAAAGTACAAGTAAGGGACGCAGGGTTCATTGCCTCTTTAAAAGTACTGTACATGAACTTTCATATGGAGAGGGCACTAGACAACATCGAATCAGATTTTAAGGCCATTTATGATGTTGATTTGTTAGCGTCAATGAGGTGGTTTAAAAGGACGTGGATGGAGCTTCCGGCTTCCAGTATTGAAAACTGTTGGAAGCATCCTGGCCTTATTGGTTCTTCTCGGGTACCATGAGATGCTGCGGATGCAGCATTGTTCTCGGAACTTCAGACAGATACACATGGACTTGTAACCATGGGGCTGAGAATTGCTATTGCGGATCTGCTTAATACAGCCGATGAGGTCGATTGCCATCAGTGTAGCATAACCCCGCCTGAGGAATTTACTTCAGATTAGATTACGATTGGATTGGCTACTGTAGAGCCACCACGCGTGTCCACGTGTACCCCTACGTGTACGGGGGCGCGCGCACACACACGTGCACGTGTGTACCACCCGGGAAGGAGGTGCGCGCATACACGGGTACTACGTGTGCTGTCAGCACCGATGCTGACACTGTACAGTGCAGGCCGACCTGCACTACAGTAGACCACTACAGTACCTCGGTACTGTAGTGTTATTGTAGATTGTTTATATATTAAATATGAGCGGACCGAGGGCGGAGGGGGGAGGACAAGCACTGACTTGTCAAGGACCATCCACCCTGGTCCTGCCGCGTTTTCTAACGCGAATTCCGTAGTTACCTTAGAGAGATCCGAGCGCGGGTTGAGGACGCCCGCAGCACGCCCACTAGCCGCCTCCGCCTCCGCCCGTCTGTAGTCGATCGTCACTCAGTACCGCTCCGGCGCGTCGAGGCGTCGAACCACTCGCGCGTACGGGCGTCCTCCCCGTTCCCTCTCTACCACCCTGCCCGGGCCCGTGCCTCGGTATCGTTACATGGCCGCGCTTCCCCCGCCTCCCCAGACGGACCGGGTCTTCATTGAACTAAGCATACACCTCCCACCGTTGGGGGTGTTTATGCTGCAATCAGAAGTTTACGGGTGACGACCTTAGACTTAATAGTAGGAGATCACGGGGGTGATTTTTGTAGTGGTGGTGAAGACAATGACTATGTGGTGCCTCTTCCCGGCACAAAGGAGCAAGTTAGAGTGCTTGCCATTGGAAGGCGCATCGTTGAGTCCATTTGTGATCATAATGCTTCTTTTCCGCGTGCAGTGCGCATAGCACAGAGAGGAGTAAGGCTGCCAGCATCCAAAACTTGCCAGCAGAGCACCATTGATGTTTTTTGAAATAAATATGAGACATTCCAAACGATTGGTCAGGAATATGAAACAGTTCTTTGTCTGCAACACCGCTTTTTTGCCACCAGATATATCCATCAAGCGGTTGCAAATAAAGAGAGACTACTGTAGTGTGAGTTGTTAACGCTAAAAATCAAGAAGGTCGTAATTGAACTGCCAGCTGTGTATTTGTTCGGAGTTAACCTGCAGTTCGAAACTTCCCTTTCACAGAATGTACTTCGAGATATTCATGTTTTATACTTTTGGAGCCACCAGTGGCTCCAATATAGACGATACCATAAAGGGGGTACTCTAATTGTGAAACAGAATTCGTCCACGACCCCATATCTTCGGCGGCCGCCATTCAGGCATAGCGGAGATTATATTAGTAAAAAGCTCTCTGTGCCCTCCAAAACATATCTGATATTCACAAAGTGTAAGGAAATCATGTCTGAATGACGATCACAAATGTGGGGATGTTCGTCCATTTGTTTTCAAGAAGAAATATTTACAAAGAAGATAGGCGAGCTCCGCGTGGCCCAGTCAAAAAGAACATTTATGAAGAAAAATTTGTTGCCACAGAAGACTACGACCCCGCCCTTGACGAATGCCCTTACATATGTATTCCGCCATCCTCCCTGCTCCGTCCCGGTTTTCACGACCACGTCTCGCACTGTCTGCTGCGACTCACTTCCTGCTCCCGCCACCGTCTTTCGCGGCCAGCCCGGGCGACAGAGGAACGATCTCGCCGTAGACGCGGGATTGGATCCCTGATGTCGGACGCCACCGCAAAGTCTGCCAAGAGCGCCTTCTGCTCAGAACCCTGCAAGCAATAACTACCTGCGGAGCCTGCCCATAATACCCTCACGTCCATCCGAGCGCCGGCCCTCACGCAGGAACCGCCCAGGGCGCGCATTGCCATAATTCTCCCCTCTAGAATAGGGAGCATTCACTTAGCATCTCGTCGGTAGACCGACCGCGACGGCGGGACCACAAGGGCTCGTCAAGCTCGCGAACGAGTGGAAGTAACCGGGTCCCCTTTCGGCTGTTACAGCTGTTAATTGACGCGTATGTCCTTGATCATCTACAGTAGATGATCAAGGACATACGCGTCAATTTTGTGCCGGACGAGAACCACACTAACATTTGAAGTGAGTCGCGTATACGAGCAGCACGCAGCCCGTCCGTCGTCTGCCAAGTCCTTTACCGCGGGCTGCCGATTGCAGTACCGTGCAGAGGGGTTAAAATGCGCGCGCCCAGCAATAAACTTAGTTCGCCCGTCAGCAGCGCCGTAACGGTCAGCGAAAACAGAAAGACCGACTGCACCGCCACGAAACGGCGCGCACACAGCAACTCAACTGCATGCCGCATCGGCACCGCAACGATCCAATGCTCTATGAGGGCGGCAGCTCCGGAAACCGCCGCCCGTCACAGCGGACACAGTGCCGAGCAGAGCGTCCAGCCCCTGACGATGAATTTTGTGCAAGTGCAGTAGAATCACGGAGTCGGGTTGTTTGCAAGGCACTCCTGCTTGTAGGGTGTGAAGTCGGCAGGCACCTAGAGCTCTAGCAGCGCACGAAACATACGCAGCTGGGACCGCACAGCCATTAGCAGAGCCCCGTACCTTATAAAAAACGTTGTTCCACGCGCCCGATATGATAAATGATGAAATAGAGGCTCTGAGAGAAGGGGGGGAAGTTCAGTGCGTAAGCTGACAAAAAACCTCCTGAAGTAACGGAAAAAGTCGGACACTTTCGTGACGGGTCACGTCGAAAAAGGAGTGACAGCATTCAGGAATGTGAAAAGGCCTGAAACGGTAGCTTGTAGCCAACGACACGAGGGAGTGTCTTGCCTGGTACATCGGAGAAAATATGCGTTTTCTGGGGTTCTTTCACAGGGGGTACATTTTCTCGACATAAAACTTATCGGGATTTCGGGTACCTCGAGAAAAACCCATTTCGAAGCGATTTTCGCTCCAACTTCCCCATTTTCATTATTCTCGCATTATTGAGAAAGTCTTGGATTCATTCCCATGCCCATAGTGCCTATATCTGTATCCTTGAGCAAATTAATCATTACTAGATGTCGGCAAGATTGAAACAGAATTCAATGAAGAAAACAGGCCCGACGTCATACGCTTACAGAAATTTTATTCGACATACCTTCTTTCTCTGTAAAATGTACGAAGTACAACATTAGAGCTAAGTTTTCTCAAGTACTGAAAGACTTCTGATTCAGATAGGAAGAAAGCTACTGGCAGGCGCACACGATCCGATACCCAGCGTTTATAAATCACAAACCATTCCCACGTCTCTCAGGATCTTCTTGCTTTTATATTAAACAGTGTGTGCCTGAACATTGCTTGTGACGCAAGTAAGATGTCAATCAATCTGAATAAACCAGCTGCTCATATCATTTTCCAAAGGAAAGAAATATTTAAACATGACCGTACTCAACTTCAGCAAGCAACCTGAGCTCTCTATTCGTATTTCCGTTTCTGAGAAGTGTTCTGATTATCACCAAAGTATCTTTCTATGCAGAATTCCTTTTATATGTTCAAGGACTCGTTCGAAGTGATACCTCCGGGACTAAAGCCATGCATTGCTCTAGAAGCGGGAAATTCATTCGGTTTGCTACATCACGCACGCTTGTGAGCGCAGGAGAACCTCCCGATTCTTCATATAGATGGGAAAAGTCCTTGTATCATTCGCAACCGTGACCTATACTTGTTGCCCATATTAATCGAAGGTCCACCACAATAATGCTGAGGTTTATATGAGCTGCACGCGTCTTCGTATATGTCGTAGTTGTATAGTCCGTCGATCCATGACCACAGAAGTTCTGATCATGGCACTGGCACTAAAGTCAAAAAACTAGAATATGACTATCCGAAAGAGTAGAAGTGTGGCATGGTGGCAAAGCGGCTGCAGGCATAACGTACCTTCGACCAAGTCAGACAAGCACACTTTTTTAATTTTCAATTGCTACTTATCAGGCAGTGCAGGGCATGGCAAAGCTCACGTACCAACTGGTTGCAAAACAAACTTGGAAACGATTGGCTACGACACGCGAACCGCAAAACAAAGTCGAACTTTTTGAGGCTGACGGTGGAGCGCGGTTAGCGGGCGTTTAGTGCGGTTGTCACTGTACATCCACTTGTAGACCGGAGAGCGACGACAGGAACCACAGGCCTCGTAGTAAGAAGTCGCGGCGAGAGACAGAGCGAGGTGCGCCTCGATCCACTTCGCTACCCGTGGAACAGGGTCGAGTAGCGAGTGGTTTCGCGGAGGGGTTGTCGTTCTGCTTTACTGCTCAAGATGTTCGAGTCCCTCCTCTTTCTGGGACGGGAGCAGCATTCTACGTCTAGTCTACGGTCGTCGAGATTCCGCTTGGTTCGCGACAGTGAGATGGAATCACCGATATTTCGGCTTGTGTCGGTCGCGTCCTTGCTGCACACCTGATCGAGTCTCGACACGTGTGATGTGTACAGCAATGTGTACAACAGGGGCACGTACGTGTCCGTCGGACGGCACAACGAAGTACTGTACCAGACTTGCGTTTCTTGCGGACAGGTAGGCACCTTGCTGGAGGTCAGTCCGCAAAACTCGTGGTGGGATTTTTCGAACTCTGGTTGACTTTACGTCCAGCAATTTTTTGTGGGCAAATGGAAAAAGCATTCACGGTCTTCACTTTCTTCTACCTTTGGGCGAGTCTGCACTCCGATCGGCGGAAAGACGATGAACTCGGCTTTTTTACGCGAAGCCTGTCCCGTTGCTCATTATCAGCTATCGCTTCCGACCGCTCTCCTCTGGCGCCCTACCGCTTCACTTGTCCTCAACATGGTCCGAGGAAAGGCTTCACTACCTCGTTGCTTACAAGCGCAAGGGAATCGGCAGGTCGCTGCTGCTCACGTCACTCACTCCGACGCTGACGCTCCGTACGCTATTTCAAGGAGGTCCCCTCTGTGCGTCACATCCTGGCTAACGACCTCGACTCCAACGCCTTCTACAATATCTGTCCGACGCCGAGGCCCAAGGCCAGCCCAACTGCGGCGCCTCTATCGAGGTCATGACGCATGCGCGGGCCAGGGACAAGCGTCGTGGACCACCGCGCGTCCAGGCCGTTGCAGACGGCGGCTTGCTCGCCGTGCTGTTCGGCAACTCCCGGGAGATTTGCTTCGGACATTACTGCGCTACCCAGCTCAAGAGCCGCACCTTCCACGAGATGGCTAATCCGACAACAACTGTCCGAAACAACAGTCAACCGCGAATCGCCATAGTAATGTGATAGAGGCTGTCTTTTGTGTCAAGATTGATGTTTACGCCTGTAAGCGATTGAGACTGTAGGCACCTCGCCCCCGAGTCGAGTATGTCTATGGTGTTTCAGTGTGCAGAGTGCCGCCCGCAGCGACACCACGATGGGCTCGATTCCTGTCAGCAATACGGAGAATTTATGAAGGGAGCGACGCGTTCAAAGAGAAGTCGGTTGCGAAAGAGAACGGCGAAGATGGTTACTCGCCTCCCTTGGAAGGCTTCTTCCAGAAGATTCTACACAAGGGCGGTACTCGCTGGTCGACTTGCCTTCTTCTGGTGAACTTGTAAAAGGTGATGACGCAGATACTGTCCAGACGACATTTATATGAGGTGATGACGCAGATACTGTCCAGACAACATTTATATGTAGAAGTGGAAACTCGCTGGAGGAAGGTATGCATCATAGTGTACAGGCGAGCCTCTACCTCTTGCGCGGTCGCTCTCGCTTGCGCTGTTTTGGCACACAGCTTCCTGTCACGCGGACTGCTGCTCCGACACACCCATAAGGGGAGGGGGTGAGAAAAGTTTGAACTCTGAGCATACCTGAACGTGCACACAAAGTCCAGGTCAATAATCCTCATCGAAACGCACGCGCAAGTACGTATCACTGCAATTCTTGAAAACCCTCCCTCCGTAAATTATGGCTGCAGTTACGGGGCGTGATTTTGAGGCAACGTTCCCCAATCCGGCCAAGTTAACTCTATGCGCACGGCGCAGAGAGCTGATGTCTGGATTTCCGTTCAACGGAATGCCATGGGCTTGGTTGGCTGTATAGTTGATAGTCCAGTTTCATGTGTGGCCGTGCTCCGAATAAACAATCCTGAGACCTTGGACGATAGCTCCCATGGTAGCATCCCGGAGTGCAAGAGGTGTTCCAAATTTGCAGTACTGGGAAATGAGGTTTAGGACTAGTTTCAAAGATTGAGGATCGACACCAAGGGGATCGCGATCGTCGTGAACACCAGCGAAATTTTGTAGGAGCTTTCGCGCTCTTTTCACGTTCGCAAATGTCGAATTGCTGGACGCAGAAGATATGAGCTGATGCCGATCCAGAAGGGGCTGCTTCGTAAACAGGGAGGTGGTTCTCGCACCGCGACCTGGATGCTTACCCATTGGTTGCTCTCCACACAAAACGGTGAACGCGGGAAAAGAAATTGGCGTGGGATGCACACGGTGCGCTGCAGATAGTACACAGGAGAGATATAATTGTGAGGAGAAGGGATGCTGCACAGGTGCCGGCCAATTGGTTGGCGTGGGCGGCCTTGGCGATGACGGCGGGGCCATGCGGACGGACAACCGAGTGCCCGGCCTTGGTGAAAAATCACATAGTAGAACTGGTTTGTGAAGTTTCACAAAACACCATGCTTTTGTGAACGTTCACATATTAGAACTGGTTTGTGACGTTTCACAAAACACCATGCTTTTGTGAACGTTCAAATAGTAGAATTGGTTCGTGAAGTTTCACAAAACGCTTTTCATAGTCTGGATCAGGACGCCGCCCTAGATGATATCATGATATCCAAGCGCCGACTGATAAATCTCTCTGCGAGCAAACAACCCATAGATTGTACCAGATTCTAGAGACCATCAACATTCTAAATAATAACACCCAGTTCGCTTTGGTAGAAAACGGCGGGTGGTGCATACGCATACGTGTGCGGTTCAGGTGAGGGCGTGTGCGGTTCAGGTCTGTCTAAATGCCTGAGCGAATGTCTGAGTCATGCCGGTTTAGAAAGGGTCAGTTCAGCGTCACGATCTGACATATTTGCAGGCTGTATGCCACGGTTTACAGTGAAAGTGACAAGGTCGGAGGGTTCATTTTCGAAGATAACCCACCATTATCAACATCCCCATTTTCTTGTCTCAAGACCAAGCAAGAAATACTTGGCCGGTTTCACGAAGGTGTCTCTCAAAAAGAACAGTGCCACCGGTGAGAACCAAATACTGTACAGTACGCTTCATCCTGGGCGTTTGGAGTCCTTTCGCGTGACCAATGGGCCTTGAACAACTGGATTGTCTAGGGTATCAAATTACGAAGAAATTGAACTTAATTCTTGATATTTGGTTCCGATATTTGGCTCGGAACCAAAAATTTGCTGATTTGGTCGGACCGGTGGGGATGTCAGTCCACATCAAATCATCAAATTTTGGTTATTTGGTTATTTGATTCTACCGGTGGTGATGCTCTAAGAGCATCAGCATCACTTAGCATCACCACCGGTAGAATCAAAAATAAAGGGAGCAGAAAAGAGCACGTGCCAGCCGATTCTGGAAGGAGAGTGCGTGCAATCTGAGCTGGGGTTTTCAAAACAGGCGAAAAGTACGTAAAAGCGGCCCGCACTTTTGAGTCGTCATGCTAACTCTCGAGTCTGTAAGCCGCTGATAAGGAGCCAGCTGGGGTGAATTAAAGGCCTGGACCAGCGATCAAAAGGATCAGGCAAGTTGCGCAATGCCCCTCAAAACATTTCCAAAAAAACATTTCCACTCCCCTCTCTTGCCGGCACGTGTGGCCGCCTCAACACCATGTGAGGGACTCGCCCTCCGGCGCCACGCTCCCTCCCAACCCCGAAAAAGAGACTTTTGTACAAATTTCTTCCCACTTCGCAAACACGTACCCAACCGTCAAAGATATCAGGAGACATATGCGTGTCATACCGCCCCCCAATCGGCCTATCATTCCCATCTGCATGCCATCAACCATGTACTCTCTGCATCACTCTCCGCGGCTATCTCCTCTCTCCAAAACACTCACTCCGCCTCGACGCACTCTCCTTCCATCTACCCATCCCCTGCTGCTCCCCCATTCAGGCCTTCTGCATCGCTCCTCCGAGATGGGAGTGCTCAAGGAAGTCATCGCTGCCCGCTACAACCCCGCCGAAGTCCTCGCCCTGCTGCGCTACAAGCGGAAGGCAGTCAAAGCCCGTGAACAAATGACACTCTCGCTCGACCCCGACTGGGTCTATGCTTATTCCAATCTATCCAAGGTTTCCCGCTCTTTTTCTCTCGTAATAATGGAGCTACGCCCCGTCCTGCGTCACCCCATTTGCGTCTTCTATTTGGTCCTGCGCGCGCTGGACACTGTCGAAGACGACACCTCCATTCATCCGGACATCCGCCGCGACATCTGCACAAACTTTCACAACTTTTTAGAACCGGAAGAGGGAGAAAACGCCTGGTCTTCCAATAGCTTTGGCGATGGTGCAGAGAAGGATCTGCTCATCCATTTTCCGATAGTGCTGCGCTGCTACAACACTATCGACCCTTCCTTCCGCACCGTCATTAAGGACATTACGAAGCGTATGGGGGCTGGTATGGCAGAGCATATTGAGGATACGTCGTGCGACTCCACCGCTGATTACGATCAATACTGTCACTACGTCGCTGGGCTGGTTGGACTGGGGCTCTCGGACATTTTCGCCATCTCTGGCTGCGAAGAGCCCGCCTTTTCTGACCGCACCGAACTGAGCAATTCCATGGGATTATTCCTGCAAAAGACCAATATTATACGCGATTATCTCGAGGACATCAACGAAGGGCGCACCTTTTGGCCCCGCGAAATATGGGTCCAATACGGCAATTGCCTCACCGACTTCAAAGACCCAGCAAATCGCAAGTTTTCGTTGGCAGTACTTAATCATATGATCACCGATGCGCTGCGCCACATGCCAGATTGTATCGAGTACATGAGCCATGTGCAAACGCAAGACGTGTTCAACTTCGTGGCAGTGCCTCAAGTCATGGCTATTGCTACCCTGGCCGAGTTATACAATAACGGAAAGGTTTTTGAAGGTGTTGTGAAGATTCGTCGATCGAAAACAGCACAACTGGTTCTCAGCACGAAGAATATGGACGCCCTGTACAAAGTCTTCTTTGACTACGCTGTCACTATGCTCAAAAACGTAGAACCTCATGACCCCAACGCTGAAAAGACGCGACAAATCCTCAACAAAGTCATTGACGTGTGCTTGCCTCACGTGCCTGCCTCTCCCGACCTCGTCATCCCCAACGTGATCAGTATCATCTTATTCTGCGGACTGAGTAGCTATGTCCTGAAGAGGCGACAGGATCATTTCGATGGGGCGGTGTTCACCTGGAGATCAGCCGGTGGCATCATGGAATTCTCAGACATGGTCGCGATTGCTGCCTTGTTTCTTGTTTGCATTTACATGTTTGGATTCTTTTTGCTGCCGTACATGTCAAAGTTGCAACAAGATGAAGTGCGTCGTATGTACACAGAGTCTCGAACGTCAAATCCACGGCCACAACGAGTTGTCATGCTTGAGGATTGATCCTCCCTGTGGTCACCAGCTAATTGCTGTCATTTGTTTCATTCCAGTACTGTATACCAGCTCTGAACCATAGCTTTACCTTGGATGGCAGCTTGGATCAAAGTTGGGAGAGTGACGTCTGGTTTGTGTTGAAAACGCGTCTTGATGCGCGACGAGTCTCTTGCAGTGATCACAACCGCAAAGGATGCTTAAATTGAACAGCAAATGAAGAGCTGGTCACAGCCTTGTGGAAGTCTTCTTAGGCAAACTTGGTTTCAAGGAGGCGCGCTCGCAAACAGCAACGTTTGTGGTGAGCGACGATGGAATCGACCTCCCACAGACTTGCGATCCGTCAACGAAAGCAAGCTCTCCGCAGGCAGAGTCTCGAGTACTTCTTCCTGTTTCATCCAGATAATACGTTGAGTTTCGTCGTAGGCGGTCGCATAATAGACTTCTCCTGCCCTATGGGCCTTGTAGCGAGCCGGTGGGTTATGAGTTACGCACCCTCTTGTTTTCCGGTGTTGGGTACTTAAAATGAATAGGTTTTCATATCAGTTAGGTTTTAGAGAAGAAACTGCTTTTGTAAGTGAGAGTAGATACCTTGTAAACTAGCGGTCTGCTAGCTCTTCTGCTCTTTGCCACTTCACAGCGTCTTCATACCGCAAGCTCCCCCCGAAGATATCTAGCGCAGAGCCAATCGTCACATCGACCAGTCCGCGACCTTTTTCCTTCGCCAATTCCATATCCGCAATCGAGCGAACTCCTCCAGCATACGTGACAGGCACGGATGCCCAGGCTGCCATTTTCTCAACTAGGTCAAGGTCGATGCCGCTCTTCTTCCCCTCGACATCAACAGCATGAACCAAGATTTCATCACAATGCTGTCCCAGCGTGTCAAAGTTCTTCGCGTTAAGTGCGAAGTCGGTCCACTTCTGCCATCTATCCGTGCAAACAAAATACTCTCCATTCCTTTTCCGGCAGCTGACATCGAGCACAAGCCTTCTCTTCCCGACCGCCCTTAACATCTCCTGCACCCGTTCCCACACAATCACCCCCTCCCGGAACACATAAGACGTGACTATGACGTGGCTAGCGCCTGCATTAATAAAGTTACCCGCGTTGCTTGGATTCATGCCGCCGCCCACATGCATGCCGTCAGGAAAGACGTTGAGAGCCTTGCGAGCAGCAATCTCGTTTCCGGGTCCGAGCATGATGACGTGACCGCCGGGGAGTTTGTCGCGATGGTAGAGCTCAGCATAGTAGGCGGGAGATAGGTCAGTCTCGAAGTTGGTGGTGGGGGCCGTGGCGGCGTCCGTTAGCGTGCCGCCGACGATCTGCTTGACGCGACCAGCGTGAAGGTCGATGCAAGGGCGGAAGCGCATCGCCCGCATCGAGGGAGTTCGATGGGAGGGGAAGGGAGCGAGATATCGCCTAACGATCGGGCGAGAAAGGATGTGAGGTAAAGATAGGAAGGCTTGCATGTTTAGAGGCTAAAACGTTTTCGACTGGGCGACATCAGGCTTGATGGTCATTGTTGGTGAGACGGCTTGACATATAGCGTCCACCAGAGCCTCAGAGGCGAAAGAGATGAGATCAATCTCGGGCTCCAGTCTTGTTGAGCTGGTGACGTATGATTGGATGGCGTCCCTGGTAGAAAGAGTACTGTACCTGTACTGTGCAATCTGCTCATGCCAGTGACACCACTAACACGTGTATATATGGGAACGTCTCCACGGGAACGCAACGTCGCACATACAGTAGCACCACCCTAGCGTCCATGTCTACTTGGTTGGATAAATTCAATTCACGTCCCTGCGCACCCTTCCGAATTGACTTATCAACAACCATGTCAAGCACGGCCGTCGAGCAACCATTGGATCTCGTCCGCCTCGCCTTGGACGAAACCATCCGTGTCAAAATGCGAGGCAATCGGGAGCTGCGTGGAAAGCTCCATGTACGTTTCCACAGCCCCGCTTCTAGACCACCGCACAGTCTCACGGAGAGACTGTGTCAATGCGGCGACTATCCAGCAATTGCACATTTCGTCTCGAATTAACGCGATTCCCCATTCCCGTACGCCTCTATCGATCCCTCCGTGAAATCACCGCGTACAGGCGTTTGATCAGCATCTCAACATGATCCTAGGCGACGTCGAAGAAACCGTCACCACAGCAGAAGTTGACGAGGAGACTTACGAGGAGATCCTGAAGACATCCAAGCGACAAATACCCATGCTCTTTGTCCGTGGCGACTGTGTCATCTTGATATCGCCTCCCTTGCGAACTGTCTAAGTCGTGATTCTCAACGTACATCTTTTTACAGAGTATTTCTCACTCTGACAACATTTCGGTCCGCGCCTCAGCTCTCTTTGAAAATCGAATCGCGTCTCCAGCTACCCTTACCTTCTAACATCGATTGCTCTCAACCTTGGCCGACGAAAGAACCGCTCGCTCCACAACCACGAGCAAAGACCTGTCCCGACACATAGCTCATGCTACAAAGTACGCAATCTTTCGCACGCACGCCTGGAGGCGTTTTCTTCCCATTCAAAGAGCTGCTATGTGCTGTAATGGCTAGATATGGATACAACAGCAAGTGTGGTTATTCGTGTGGTGGTTCGTGCCGGGAGTAACGCGCAAGGCGGCATGGATGTCTCTTATGACGTGAGTTTTATATTACAGCATATGGGTTACATCAATAGGGGGCGGAGGGAAGCGAGAGCGGTAAGCGATGGTGCGTTCCTATGGATGAGTACAAGTGCAGTTGATTTGCAACGACAATTTTCTTTCCACCTTGCCAATTATGCAAATTGTATATTCTGTTGTAATGTAACATTCTTGCTAGTATACTGCTAGGCAATGGTCGCGTTGTAGATGCGGTGGGCGGAGAGCTAGCTAGTCTTCGTGTGGAACGCCATTCTGGAGGCGTATACCACCAACTATGCTTAGGGCAGAGTTCACCAACATGGAGAGAGTTGCTCCAGCTAGAAAAGCCATGACTCCTTGAAACAGTGGGGTGAATAAGAGCGAGGCGGCGAGGTAGTCATTGAGCCCTGCAGCAGCTTTCCATTTTTCAGTAGAGCCCGCGGGAATGACCGGGTCGTGTGAAAGGACGCGAGTGAGCCATTTGAAGAGCTCAATGTAAGGGCTTTCATTAACGGTGTAGGTGAAGAGCTTCGAAAGCACGGCGGATAACATGGGCTTTTCCGTAGAGCTGAACATGATGGCGGCGAAGAAAAAAGCAAACACGACTAAAAGCCGCACGGTGCCATGCAGCAGCGCGACGAAGAAGCAAAACCAGGCGATGTTCGGGACGCTAACGCGCCCGAGCACAAAGTGGTCCCTCGCCTGACCGCGCGCCTGCGCTCCGTGCGCGCCCCTGGCGTGGTTGGTGACGAGCAGCGCCTGGCGCGCGTACTGCGCGTACTGGCGCGCGAGGCAGGCCGCGGCGGGGTACGCGCGCGACAAGTGCGAGCTCAGCGGCTCTGCATTTGCGCCGCGCAGAACCATGTCATACTAGCACGACCGCTATG